TTAGTCCGTGGTTGGCGTGTCCAGGTGTAGTGAGGCAGGACGGTTAGAAGGCGAGTGGAATTCAGTGAGATTTGTGTAGCCCTAGTGTGTGCGTAGGAGATAGGCAGAGAGAAAGAGGGAGAATGAGTGAGTAATTGAGGTAGTGATTGAGACAGAGCGGGAGTCAGACGCATCACGTTCTCCGGTGTGAAGACGGTGGCGTAAGCGTGAAAGAAGTTTTACAATCCCTGGGAGAAAATGATGTTTAGCCCGGCCGCGGCTGACACTGGCACGAGCGCGGTCGCCGTAATCTCTCCAGCCTGAGCATCATCCATCCCTTTAGGAGTCACTCGCTGCTGCTGCTCGGACTTGCCGCCCTCAGCCCTCTCTCTGGGCCCTGAGCTCCTTCTCCTGTCCCACCTGATTCCCTTCTCCCTGTCCCGCCCAGAGACTTTTCTCCCTAACCACTGAGCCCCTCCCCCCGCCCTTAGCCCCTCTCCCCGCCCCTGATTCCCCTCTTTCTCCTGTCCTGCACTCTGATTCCTTCTCCCACCCCTGAACATCTCTCTGCCTCAGAACCTCACTCCTGTCCCGTCCCTTTATAACCTCTTTCCTGCAGCCACTCAGAACCCTTTCTCTCTTCGCCGCCCACTGAGGCCTCTCCTGCCCCGCCCCCGCTGACGCTTCACTCCCGATCACGGGGTCTGATCCATGTTCTCGGCTTGGGGGTTTCTGACTCTTCTGAGGTCTGGATTCTGACTCTTGACTCCTGTCAATTGATTCCCGACTGCCGACGCCAGACCTCTGCTCGTCTCCAGTGGGGCCTCGGCGGAACGGACGAGGTAGAGGCTCTCGAGTCTTATTCTGACAGCTGTTGCCGTCTTGGCAGTAGTTGCTGTTCAGATTGATTCCGACAGCTGCTGCTATGTCCGATTGAGGCGCGAGTTGCAGCTGTTGCTCATTCTGACGAATCAGACTCACTCAGCTGTAATTCATTTTGTTACTTTACTGGCTCTGAAAATTCTACATTTCGGTTGAACGTTGATTGCCATTTGTCAAGGGTTCACACAGGGCCGTCATCGCATACCAACAAAAAACTTTTTGCTTTGTGGAAGTAAAAGTTGTGACTGACAGTAATTTTGTCCACACAAAACGACTCTTTTTTTCCTTCTTTCTTTTCTTTCTCTAATTTCTCTCTTTTTTCCAGGAGGGATATGCTAAGGGAGGAACCTGTGCAAGAAGGAAAAGGGAATGAAAAGAAACGGGAAGTGGAAGGAAAGATAGATTGTGTGTGTGTGTTTGTGTATATGCATATGTATATATTTTGTGTGTGTGTGTGTGTGTGTGTTTGTGGTGAGAGAGAGAGGATAGAGAGGGGAAGGGAGAAGGTAAAAGTGTATTTACCTTGATAAAAGAAGAGATCAAATATGAGGAGAAGAGTGTCCATTTCTGCTGGTCATATCGCCTGTTTATTCCGTATTGACGAGTGGATATCGGCGCGGCCCCGTCCCCAAGCGGCCACATAGGTGTGTAGGACTCGTGCCGCCGCCGCCGCTGGTCAGTTTGTGTTAGTATTGTTATTTTTTTGGCTCAACATTGTCACCATCACAGCCATTTTGTTAGGTATTCATACTACGAGTAATGATGATGATCATCATGATAATAGTAATAATGATGGTAATGATAATATACTACTACTACTACTACAGTTATTAGTATTAATATGCTATCATTCTGTCCTTTTAACTTGAAAGAATCGGCAATCAACAACCGGGCATCAGAGCTCCAGAAGTTCCTCACGCCCGACCAAACACAAAGGATTTGATTGATGTCATTTTTTGTGTTACTGCGCCGACGACCTTGCCTTCCTTTCTAAATAGTTACCTTACCCACTCTAGCTCGGCTTGCATTTTCCCGGCTCACCTTGAACAAGCTACGCAGCGCTGATTCACCAGGTCGTATGAAAATTTAATTAGCTTAATTGCGAATGCGAATTGGAAATTGAAAACATTTTATTTTCGGCTGCAGGTGAGTAACTTGGAGCGTGCAAGTGTCGAAAGATCATCACCGGCTGCAGCGTGCTCCCCGGTGTACCTCGAACGCGTAAACGGTTAAAGAGTGAGAATAGGCCTGTACCCTCCCATTGTACCCACCCTCCTTCCAGTAGCTGAGAGGAAGGGAAGAGGAAGAGGAGATAGAGGATAAGGGGGAAGGGGAGGGGAAAGTGGAGGAAGAGGAAAGAGATAGAGTGGGTGTAAGAATAGGGGGAGATAAAGGAGAAGAGAAGAAGCGAAGAAGGTGGAGGCCTCTGCTCTCTCTCTTTCTCCTTTCCCTCTCCCTCTCTCTCTCTCTCTCTCTTTCTTTCCCTTCTTCCTCTCTCTTTCTCTCCTTCCTCCTCCCCCCTCCTCCCTCCTCCTTCCCTCCTCCTCCTCCCTCTCCCTTCCCTCCTTTCCTCTTTCTACCTGTTTTACCTCTTCCTCTCCCTCCTCGCCCGTTGCTTCCTTTCCTGACCCTCCTCTCCACCCCTTCCCTCCTTCCCCCTCTCCGTCCCTCCCCTCGCATTTCCCTTCCCCCCTCCCCTCGAAGTGTCCTAACACGACGTGCCACATGGCGGAGGCGAGATGTGCCACACGATATAGCAGCCGTAATTGACAGCGCGTCCCTCACATTTAAGACGCTGACGTCACAGCTTTGCCGCCGTCTTTTCGCCAAATTAATCTGCACTTCAACCTGGCCACAGCGGGTGAATTTACGCCGTCCATTTCGCCTTCCCCGCCACCTGCAGTTTCGGCTCGTCTTCCCTCTCCTTGACCCTCCCGCCCCTCGTGTCTCCGTGTCCCCCTGCCCCCTGCCCCTTAATCCTAGGCCCTTCCCGGAGCGGAGTGGCTTTCCGGACGATTGGTAGAGCGGGCCACCGTGAAGGGTGCGGGCGGGAGGGTGGGCGTCCGTGGGCGGCAGGATGGGTTCCGGGTTCCGCCTGGTCTGATTGCTGCGGAGAATTAGTTTCTTGGCATTTTTGGTGCGTATGCCTTGCGCGCACTCGTCGGTTTATTGTTTTTAGTTGATTGCCGTCGATTGGGGTTTATTGTTTCTTGCTGATTGGCAGAATCGGCTTGACTGCTGATTTTTTTTTTACTTGCTAATTTCGACTTTCAATTTGCTGGTTAGATTCAGTACAGCACTCGGCCTTTTTTCATTGCGTTGAACAATATTAGTTTTACACCACATTAGACTTAGGCGGTAGAATTTTTTTTCCTGAAGACTTGTCTGTTGGCGCAGTCGATTGTTTTCCACGGGAAAGTGAGGCGGTGATTGGTTTTCGTGGTCGTGTGAGCACACTTATTTAACTTTTATGGTTGAATGACTCGTAGTGATTGTCTTTTAGGATTGATAGATGTTTCTCCCGGTGCTGATTGGTTGGAATCCTAGACGTGTTTACGACATTTTTTTTCTCCTGTTTCCTGTTTCTTTTCTAGTGAATTCTTTTATAAGACGATTGTGGGATTCGTAGGTCGAAAATTGATGAAGATTTGCCATGTTTTTGGTGCGTGGGCAATCGCTTTCTTCGAACTCCTTCCTTTCCGCCGAATTACTCTCGCTCAGGCGTTCGCTTTTCTCTCTCCTCGCTTTCCTCGGCAACCTTATTTGTTTATTTTATTCGTTTCATTTAAATTGCGTCTGATAGCCTTCATGTAACGATCTCTCTCTCTCTCTCTCTCTCTCTCTCTCTCTCTCTCTCTCTCTCTCTCTCTCTCTCTCTCTTCTCTCTCTCTCTCTCTCTCTCTCCTCTCTTCCTCCTCCTCCCTCTCTCTCCCTCTCTCCTCTCTCCTCCTCTCCTCCTCTCCTCCTCTCCTCTCCCCTCCTCTCCTCTCCCTCTCTCTCTCTCCCCCTCCCTCTCCCTCTCTCCCCTCCTCCTCTCCTCTCCTCTCCCCTCCTCTCCTCTCCCCTCTCTCCTCCTCCCCCTCCTCTCTCTCTCCCCCCCTCTCTCTCCTCCCCCTCCTCTCCCTCTCTCCCCCTCCTCTCCTCTCCCCCCTCTTCCCTCTCCCCCCCCTCCTCCTCTCTCTCCCCTCCTCTCCCTCTCTCTCTCTCCTCTCTCTCTCTCTCTCTCTTCCCCTCCTCTCTCTCTCCTCTCTCTCTCCTCCTCTCCTCTCTCTCCTCCTCTCCCTCTCTCTTTCCCTCTCCTCTCTCCCCTCCTCCTCTCTCTCCCTCTCTCTCCCTCTCTCTCCCCTTTTGCTCTCCCTCTCTTCCCCTCCCTCCCCCACCCCCGTGGTCATTCTGGCCTTCCCAAGGAAAGGAGAGCGAGAGTGCCTAAGAGAGAGGAGGTGGGGAGAGGAAAGAAAAATACGCGATACTAATATTTACTCACTTTTCATTAATGCAGCAATTTAAACGCAGAACTGGAGCAAAATAATCTTTGTAGCCATGGTCGGTGAAAACCCCCCAGTTTGAATCCATTGATACAGGCCCACACGCAATCAAACCCGACGATTTATGGATTTGAAAGACACGCCAACAATCCGGGAATCATGAGCTATGTTTGGAACGGCAAGCGATTCCGCGGCAGTTGTTTCGGCTCTTAATGAAGGCGGCGGTGGTCGTGCCGGGCGCTTTCGTCGCTTCGCATAATCGTTGGCCGAGCCGCCCTTCGCCAGAATCTGAGCGATCGCGATTGGAGCCGGGCGAGGGGTCGGCCAGGGGTCGGGGCGCGTTGGATTCCCGGCCAATTAGAGCAGCGGGACAATCGTCCTCCGAGTTCCTGGTTTGGAGAGAACGGGGGAGGGAAGGAAGGAAGGATGGAAGAAAGAAAGGACGGAAGAAAGAAAAGGAAAGGAGGAGGGAGGGAGGGAACGAAGAAAGAAAAGGAAAGAAGGGATGGGAAGGGAGAAAGGAAGGAAGGAATGAAAGAAGGGATGAGAAGGGAGAAAGGAAGGAAGGAAGGAAAGAAAGGATGGGAAGGGAGAAAGGAAGGAAGGAAGGGGTAGGATGGGAAGGAAGGGAAGGGAGAGAGGGTGAGATTCCGAATGTTGAAAGCACTGCGGGCGAGACGAGAGCCAGGGGTTTTGAGGCCGAGGATTGTGATAGGACGTGAGAGGATTTCTGAAGTTAGGATTGGGAAATGTTTGGCGTCAAGTTTAGGATGGAAGGGACACTTTCCGATGTCGTTGGTTCAGAGGTTGAGGAACGTTGCTCTTCGGAATGGGAACGGGAAGATTCTTTTTCAGGGCCTGAGGGATTAGATTTAGGGCGTTAGGATGAGTGGGACAACCCTATAATGCCAGTGCCTTACACGGGTACTGCAGCGATTGACATGACACCGTGTATCAATATTGAAAGTAATCTACAAAGACTCTCCCACTGGCTGTAGCACCTGTAGCACCGCCAAACCCTCCCTCACGTCTCGCACCCCCTTTTCATGCACACGCCTTCCTGCGCCTGTTTGGTTATCGCTTGATGGCCTTAGCACGACGCTCCGTTGCGACAATGCGACCTCCCCTGCGACGGCAACGACCTTCCCCTGCCACAACGACGACGACCTCCCCTGTCACAACGACGACCACCTCCCCTGCCACAACGACGACACCGACGACGACTTCCCTGCCACAACGACACTCCCTGTCACAACGACGACGACCTCCCCTGTCACAACGACGACGACCTCCCTGCCAACGACGACGACCTCCCCAAACGGCGACGACTTCCCTGCCACAACGACGAACCTTCCCTGTCACGACGACCCCTCCCCTGTCACAACGACGACGACTGCCGACGACGACCCCTGCCACAACGACGACGACCTCCCCTGTCACACGACGACGACCTCCCCTGCCACAACGACGACCCCCTGCCAACGACGACCACCTCCCTGCACAACGACGACGACTCCCCTGCCACAACGACGACGACCTCCCTGTCACAACGACGACGACCTCCCCTGTCACAACGACGACGACCTCCCCTGCCACACGACGACGACACAACGACGACGACCTCCCCTGCCACAACGACGACCACCTCCCCTGCCACAACGACGACGAACGACGTCCCTGAACGACGACCACCCCTGCACCACTCCCCTGCCACGACGACCACCTCCCCTACCTCCCCTGTCACAACGACGACGACCTCCCCTGCCACACGACGACGACCTCCCTGCCAAACGACGACCACCTCCCCTGCCACAAGACGACCACCTCCCCTGCCACGACGACCCTCCCTGCCACAACGCCGACCACTCCCCCTGCCACACGACGGACGAACGACGACGACCAGCCCCGCCGCGACCTGCGCCTCCGCTGTCACCGACCAACGCCGCCGCGGCAACAACCAGCAGGAGAGCAGGCTTGGTGCCATAAAGGGTTGTGTGATATTGATCGCGTATTAGCGGAGTCAACACAAAGGCTTCTCCCTCTCGTATTTTGGTTGCTGGAAGCTTTTTTTGTGTTTTTCTATTTGTCTTTCGTCTCTTAGTTTTGGTTTTACGTCTTCTGTTTGTGTTAGGGGGGGCGGGGGGCAGGAGGGTTGGCCTGGTGTAGAAGTGGGCGGGGTAGTGGGGGGGGGGGTAGAGTAGTTCACTTCCATCACTTGCGAGATCGAGGTTGTTATTTGATGCTTCGCCAAGTTAATTAATGTTTTTGTTTGTCGACTTGTTTCATATGTCATAGACCCCCCCCCTCCACTTCTGAACGCATCCCCTTCGTCTTCCTCTTATCTTCTCTTCCTCATCTTCCTCTTCCTCCTCCACCTTCACTTCCGCCTCCAGCTCCTTTTTTCCCCTTTTCCCTTTCCACTGTATCTTTCCCTTTCTCTTCTCCCCCTTCTTCTTCTCCTCTCCTCTCCCTCTTCTTCCTCCTCCTCTTCCAACCCCTACTCCTACTTCTATATTTTTTCCTACTATTAAGTCTCTTCCTCCATTATTCCCCACTTCTTCTCTACCTATCCCCTGTTCTTTCTTTTTCTTCCTCTTTTCCTCTCTCCCTTATCTCTTCCTCCTCCCACCCGTTACCTCCCCCTCCCTTTCTTCCCCTTCCGCATGAGTTTGTTTTTCGAAAGTTGAGAAGAAAAACTTGCACATAGGCTGTTACACATCCACATGTTTTGTAAAATATACGAAATCGTGCCTTGCACAGCGTGAGAGGGGGTTGTTGGGGGGGGGGGGGGGAATGGCGTTTGATCTAGTTATAAAGGTCACAGGTAAAGAATGCATGATACCTGTAACAAAAATGGATTTTGTCATCATTTACGAATTCCTTTTTTTACACCCTTTTAGGCTTGTTCAACATTGCTTTCAAATTTTGGTAATGACTATGTCTAGGCTGATGCAGTTACCCTTTTCTTTCGATGACATCTCATTTCAAATCTTATTATTATTATTATTTTTATTACTCTGCCTTTTGTACTTTCGGTGGCCATACGTTGGCAACTTCGCGTGTTTTGATCTCGATGGGGTTAGGCCTCCTCCGCGTCCTGTTCCTGCCATGCTTCCCAAAGGCATTACGTCGCTTCCGAACACTTAGCCTCATCGATTTTGTGGAAGGGGGTTTGTGTTTATTTGTTTATGCTTGTTTGTTTAGAAGAGTGTGTAGTTGTGTTTGTGTTTGTCTATACAGTTGTTCTTGTGTGTGTTTGCATGTTTTTGTGTATTCCAGTGATAAGATGTGTGTAGGGTGTGTGTTTGTGCTTTTGCGAGGTTTGCGTGAGCGCGCGTGTGCGCGCTTTCGTGCTTGCGAGAGAGTTTCACCAAATCCTTTGTTCGCATCACAGCAAACCATCTCCTAATTGCTTTGTGCAAAAGACAGATCTCAAAGTGTATCATCACAGTCTCAGACCTAAAAGCGCGCTCTCTAAACCCATCTGAGGAAGCGAGAACGAGCGGCCCGAGGCATTAATTCAAGAAAACAAAAGCCGCGTAATGCGCACTGGTGATTCCCAGGTGCATCAGAGCCAACAGCGAGAGGCGTTCCTGCACTCCCGTCATTGGCATCCCCCTCCCCCTCCGATGGATACCGCCACATTGTGTCACATTTTCTGACGGGGCTTGGGTCTCGGCAGCCAAAGCCCTCGGTGTTTGTTCAGAGCATTGGGTGTCACTTTCTCTCTTTCTCGCGTTATGTGTATAGGCGTGTGCATTTCTTAAAAAAGGTCTTTGTTGTGTTGTGTGTGGGGCCCCGGCTTCTAAAAGAAATGCAGCGCCGGGAACTGCGAAATGTCTCCAGAACGTGGCGGTGTCATCCGCAGATTCTGCTCTGTGCGACGGCTCTGGCTTCTTTCATCTTCTCCCTCTCCCCCTTTCCCTCCTTCGTCTACCATTTCTTTGTTTCTGTTCTATTTAGTTTTTATTTTCTCCTTTTCCCGCAGTCCCCCCGATAGTTTCTCTTGTTTTTTCTTGTCTCTAATATCCTTTCTGGGCTTCCTTTAACTTGGGACTCGTTTTCCTTGTGCGGGCCTCTCTTTCTCTCTCTCCTTCGTGTTTATTTTTTTCATTTCATTTCTAACACAAACTTTCTGGCAGAAAAATAAGATCTGTGTAGAGAAAGCAAAAGGCAGTATATACAGCAGACAAAACGAGCGCAAAATAGTGACGGGAACGGAGTTTGTGTGAGTGTGAGTATGTGTGAGAGAGAGTGTGTGTGTGTGTATGCGTATGCGTGTGTTTATGTGTATGTGTGTGTGTGTGTGTGTGTATGTGAGAGAGACAGACAGACAGACAGAGAGAAAGCGAGAGGCTCAACTCTTTCCAAACATATGGTGTCCAGAATCTTGTTCCGCTGCATTGCACTGAGGTGGACTCTCTTCCCCGCCACCACCACTCCAGGCTCTGGCACTGGCACTGGACGCGGAAGTAGCTCTTGGCGCTGAATGGGGTTGGAAGTAGAGCAAGAAAGGAAGAGATGCACAGAGGGAGAGTTTGGAACGCTTTGCCAAAGGAATCGCAGTGTTTCGCCTGCATTCAGGAAAACAAAAATCTGGTTTTACTTCGCTTAGTGAGGAAGGGTATTTGGATGTTATGGTATGTGTATCCGTGCATGTATGTGTATAGGTGTTTGTTTGAATGTGTGTATATGGAGGCGGTACAGGACATACTGAGGGAAAAGAAGGTACGTTTCTGCCATTCTCCCTCTCCCTCTCCCTCCCTTCTCCTCCCTCTCTTCCTCTCCCTCCTCTCTTCCTCTCTCTCTCTCTCTCTTCTCTCTCTTTCCCTCTCTCTCCTCTCTCTCCTTCTCTTTCCCCTCCTCTCCTCTCTTCTCCTCTCTCTCCTCTCTCTCCTCTCTCTCCTCCTCTCTTCCCTCTCTTTCCTCTCTCTCCTCCTCTCTCCTCTCTCCTCCTCTCTCTCTCCTCTCTCCCTCTCCTCTCTCTCCCTCTCTCTCCCTCTCCTCCACCTCCCACATCGCCTCCCTCGCCTTCTTCCCCCCTCCCCTCACTCAGTCTTCATACCTTTGTGTCAATTTTAATTACCTCCATCTTGTAGACGAGAGGCAACTCTTCATCTCTGCCCGTCCCGGCAACGTGGACGGACTGGATGAAGTCGAATGAAATAAGGGAAAGAAGATTCAGTCGCTGCAAGCCTTCACGGCGGCTTATTTTTTGTTCATTAAGCGCGTCGTGGTCGAGTTTGTAATGTGAGTCCGCGTTGAGGTTGACTTGCCTTTGTCAGCCGCAGTCTGTAGTCTTCGCCTGTCTCTCCTTCGGAAAGGAAAATAACTATTTATCACCCATGCACATGCATGTGGAGCCGCACACGCATATGCTTACGCATACGCACACATTCGCAAACACGCATGCGTAAACACAAAATTCACGCACACAACACACAACACAAACATACACATACAATACACACGCACGCAAGCACGTGCATATAACTTTCCTTTCTCCATATGAACGTGTTTCTTTCTAGGAAAGTTACGTAGTTGACCGATTTCCCCAAAATATTCGTATGAAAAAGAAAAAAAAGAAAATAAATAGGGTGTTTGTTTAAGCTCGACTCTCGGTCTGTTCCTCTCGACGCCCTCATGGCCCTCATGGCCCTCATGGCCCTCGTGGCTTGGCTCCCCTCCATTTTCCTCTGGCGATTCTCCCTCTTCGCTCCCCGCCTCAATGGCCGCTCCCCTCTTTCATCCTCCGACCTCATCGGCGGTTTTACTCCTTTTTTTACTTCTTACTCTTCTCTCCCCTTCCCGTCTTACTGATTTTGTGTCCGCTCTTGTCTGTTAGCTTCTCTCTCTCTCTCTCTCTCTCTCTCTCTCTCTCTCTCTCTCTCTCTCTCTCTCTCTCTCTCTCTCTCTCTCTCTCTCTCTCTCTCTCTCTCTCTCTCTCTCGCTCTCGCTCTCGCTCTCGCTCTCTCTCTGCTTCTCTTGCTCTTCTTGCTCTCTGCTCTCGCTCTCTCTGCTCTCCCTCTCTCCCTCTCTCCCTTCCTTCCTCCTCTCTCTCCGTTTTTTCTGTATATCCCCAGGATTTCTAATCTCTAATTTCCAATCCCGTCGTCCTTTTTTCTATTCTTTCCTCCTTTACTTTCCGGTTTCTTTTTAATGCATCCCCGTCTTCTGTATATGCGCATCCTCTTCTTCAAAGGCCATTCCGAATCTCCGTCCACATTTCCTCTCGTTTCATTTGAGCAGTGCCATTACGTTGTCTCATCTTGGGCAAATAACTAGGAGTCGGTCAGATACGCATAAGCAAATTAGCAAGCGCGGGAAGGTTAATTGCAGCATAAAGGTAGAGTAAAAGGGAACGGGAAAGCAGGCCAGCATACGGACTCGACATACGCCATGGAGAAGGAGCAGCAGATTTGGTTGGGTTGAGCCGGACAAAGAAGCAGGGCAAGGAGGAGGAGGAGGAGGAGGCGGCAGGGCAGACCGAGCCGAGAGTCGAATGGCCAAGCAGAGGGAGCAGCAGGTAGGCGTCGCTGGTCGGCCGAGAGGGGCGGAATGGCGCAGGAGGTGGTCGGTGTCTGTCGCATCTCCTTAACTCGGATTAAGGAACGCGTCGGAGTCTTTTCTCTCGGACGTCCTCCACTCCGTCGCTCCCCTAGACCGCGCTGCTCGTGTCCCCTTTGTGTGCTTGCCTTGCTTTGTATTTTTGTCATTCTCTCCGTTTCTCTCCTCTCCTCTGTTATCCTCTCTCCTGTCTTTCACTCCTCTCTATTTTTTATTAATTTCGTGTTTTTTTCTCTCTCTCTCTTTCCGTCCTTCAATCTTTGCTCTTCTCTTCTTTTCTCCTCTTCCCGTGCTTCACTTCGCTTTTTGCTCTCCTCTTGTCTTCTGCTTTTTCGTCTTTCAGCCCTCCCCCTTATCCCTTCATGTTCTTCTCCGTTTCTGTTCTTCCTCCAATACGCCTGTCTCTTCCTCTCCACCCC